CCCACTAGTCCTTCTTTTCATGAAGGGTTCCATGAAGAACAAGGGGAATTAAAACAATATAAATATTAGGGGCATCCATAGCAAATGTTCTAAGGCACTCTAGAGTGGTGTTTCTCAACCGTAGGAATGTAAGATGTGTGGATTTAAACTCTCAGACTTCCCAAGTCAGTATTCTTTAAGCCGGGTGGACTTCAGCTTCCCCATAATCATGCTGACTAGGAAATTTTGGGAGTTGAAATTCATTCATCTGAGAGTTGCCAGACTGGAAACACAGTGGTTTTATGTTCTTCTGGCTTGATTGTAAAACTTGGGAAACAAAAGGTGATTCTTATCAAAACTGATTTCTTAGAGTTTTACTTTTGGTTCTGTTTCCCGGAAGTTTTTTTTTTTAAACATCAAAGATTAGACATAAAAGTTATATTCGTACACTCCCTAAGCCAGTTTTCTGAACCATCTTTTACCGTATCTAAGTTGGAGTAGTTCAGACCACAATGGCTAATTTTACAGAACACGTGAAGATGGTCACCAACAAACTTTCCCCCAGAATTTGTAAATGCTCCAACACTGGAAGTTTTTAAGAAGAGGTTGGATAACCATTTGTCTGAAATGGTATGACTGTTTAACTGTTGCTTGTATCCTTACAATCTATATTGACTGTTTCCTAGTATGATTTGATTGCTTATTGTACCCTATGACTATCATTAAGTGTTGTACCTGATGATTCTTGACGAATGTATCTTTTCTTTTATGAATACTGAGAGTATTTGCACCAAGACAAATTCCTTGTGTGTCCAGTCACACTTGGCCAATAAAGTATTCTATTCTATTCTATTCTATTCTATTCTATTCTATTCTATTCTATTCTATAGGATTTCCTGCCTAAGCAGGGGGTTGGACTAGAAGACCTCCAAGGCCCCTTCCAACTCTGTTTATTCTAATTCTATTCTATTCTATTCTATTCTATTCTAATTCTATTCTATAGGATTTCCTAAGCAGGGGGTTGGGCTAGAAGACCTCCAAGGCCTCTTCCAACTCTGTTTATTCTAATTCTATTCTATTCTATTCTATTCTATTCTATTCTATTCTATTCTATTCTATTCTATTCTAATTCTAATTCTATTCTATTCTAATTCTATTCTAAACATGCAGTGATAAAGTGGCAGGACTGCTCCCTCCGAGCAAAGCCTCACATAGAGACTTTTCAGTTTTGGAAGAGATGCAGAGTTTTCTTGGAAACTGAAGGAAAGATGCATTTTTATTTTAGAGAATCCTAAATCATTCACAGAGACACAGAAATGAGATATTCTCTTGCAAATCAATTCTAATGCACAGGGATGGGATTGAATGCAGAAATCCTTAGGTTGGTCTGCCCCCTGGTGGCCTAAGGAAACATTGCGGCTTCGATAAAAGTGGAAAATACCAATTATTTTATCATTTGGTAGATTGATATCCTGATTTTTTTTTCTTCCAGGGCTTGGCAGTGGCATACACTGTATTTTCTATCTTTCCGCCCATTTCTCTGTAACAGCAGAGGTAGGTCAGACTGGGCCAAGAAAGAGAGTTCAGCCCAAAGTCTCCAAGTAAGATTTCTGTGGCTGAAAGCAAATCCCCTCATCCTGTTAAGAATCCGAATCAAACAGGAAATCGCTTTTTTCTTTATTGGTAGTCCTCGACTTATGACCCCAGTTGGAACCAGCAACGCTGACCAGGGAATTCTGGGAGATGAAGTCCACACCTCTTAAAGGGGCCCAGGCTGAAAAACGCCGCTCTATTTAAATACCTCCAGCTTTTCCCACTGGGAATTTCCCCAATTACCAGCTGAAATCTACCTGGCATTTAAACCCTTATTTTCCATCCCACCTTTTAGAAAAACAGCAATTCCTCCCTGCCTTCCGCATGCCAGAGATCCTCGAAGGCTGTTGCAGGCAGTCCTCGACTTACAACGGTTCGTTTAGTGACCAACGGCACTGAAAAAAAGTGACTTATGACCGTTTTTCACACGTACCACCTTTGCAGCACCCTCGTGGTCACGTGATCAGAATCCAGACTTTTGCCAACTGGTTCATACTTATGACCGTTGCACAATCTCCTTTTGCGACCTTCTGACAAAAGAAAATCAATGGGGAAGCCAGATTCACTTAATGACCGTGTGACTAACAGCCGCGGTGATTCCCTTAACAACTGTAGCAAGAAAGGTCGTAAAATAGGGCAAAGCTCACTTAATGCCTGTCTCGCTTAGCGACATAGATTTGGGGCTCAATTGTTGTAAGCTGAGGACTACTTGTGTACTACGTCTTCTCCAGCCTTCCAGTTAGTCCTTGGTCATCGTGGCTGTTCACTTTTGAGGTATCCACAGGTAGACCATCCCGTCATCCAAACCACCATTTCTGGTTTTTTTCTTTGAAGACGTTTCGCTTCTCATCCAAGGAGCTTCTTCAGCTCTGACAGGATGGTGGAGGATGGAAGGATTTATATTCCTTGCGGACAGCTGGTCATTTGCATCCTTTTAGACAGTCGTTCAGGCCACTTGGAAGTTTATCTTTGGTATATAGAGTGGTCATGTGATCAAAACTCAAGACACTTGGAAACTGACTTGTACTTACGACAGTTGGTGTGCTGATCAACTTTTGTAACTTTCTGATGAGCAAACTTAAGAGGCAAGCCAGATTCGTTTTAACAACCAAAGTTACTTACTTAACGACTGCAGTGATTCACTTAGCAACTGTGGCAAACAGGTCATAGAATGGTGCAAAAGTCAACATCTGTCTCGTTTAGCAACAGAAAGTTTGGCCTCCATTGTGGTTGTAAGGACTGCCCGCAGTTAAGCGGCGTGTCAGTCGGGGATTTTAAGGGGTGTTTTAAACCTCACGATCAGCAAATATAGTTTTAAGGAGCAACGTAAAAATTAGAAAACTTCCTCTTCTCTAACCTGGAGTTTCCTGTTGAGGCAAAGAATTTGAGGGTAGTGTCTGTGATGACCCAACGGGGCGTGGCACAAAATCAATGAAATCACAAAAGTAGGAAAAGTCCCTTTAATTCCTCCAAGTTGGCCCCCAATGTCCAGTTATCATCGGCTGGAGAAAAAAACTCTCCCAAGAACAGTTTTTAAAGGGAAGAAATTACGTCCGAACCCAAAGTACATATAAATTATAAATAAAAACCAACACAAACCACTGCTGCAGCAATTAATGAGACAGGGCAGGATAAGGAATTGCAGACTTCGAAAGATAATGAAACACACAGTTGGGAGGACGCCAGAACCCAGGTAAGACTTGACAAACCAAAATAATTCACGCTTTGCTTCCAGCAAGGTGCTGTGTGCAAACACCCTTTTAAAATCCTGTTTTCCCAGCTGCAGCTAATGAAGGGAATCAGGGCCCTTTTCTCCCCCATAACCCATGTTGCTCCCTTCTCTGTTCCTGTGTACCCTAGGATGAAGAAGGGGTAGACCTGCGTCTTCCTCTGAATGCCCAACCAGACTGTGCCCTTCCCCAGTTTCCTCCACAGCCACCGGAGCCACACTCCCACTCCCTGTCAGCTGCTCAACCTCCTCCTCGGAATCAGATTCCAACAGGGGTATGACAGTGTTAGAATTCTGTTGTGCAATCAAAACATGGTGAACAGATGATTTCCCTTCTATGCTGAGGTGACACTTATACTCCAGAAGCTGGACACAATAAGATGTGCAGTTGGGCTACAGGTAGTCCTCGCTTAATGACTGGTCACCTAATGACCATTCAGTTACAAACCCCCATAAACCTGTCCTCGAAGTTATGGCTGCTGCATCCTAGCCACCACGGTCACATTATTGCATTTTGGATAGCAATAGAAATAACACTTATATACTGTTTCACAGTGCTTTACAACCCTCCCTTAAGCAAGTTTACAGAGTCAGCATAACGCCCCCCTCCCCAACAATCTGGTTCCTCGTTTTACCGACCTCGGAAGGATGGAAGGCTGAGTCAACATGGAGATGAGTCAAGATTGAACTCCTGGCAGTGGGCAGAGTTTGCTTGCAATAGCAGTAGCACAAACTTATATACCACTTCATAGTGCTTTACAGCCTCTCTAAGCATCTTAGAGTCAGCCTATTGCCCCAAAATACCAGGTCCTCAGAAGGATGGAAGGCTGAGTCAACCTTGAGCCGATGAGAATCAAACTGCTGACAGTCAGCAGAATTCACCTGCAATAGTGCATTCTAACCCCTGGGCCACCATGGTTCTTTTTTAGTTGCAGTCTCCCGCAAGTCAACATTTGTGACTTTTTTTCTTGGTTTCTGGCAAAAATAAATAAAAAATGCCCCTCATGTATTTAGCTAACAACTCTGTGGTTTGCTTAACAGCCACAGATACGCTCAGTGACCATGGTGACTCGCTTTATCCTTTTTGTAAACCAGTCATAAAATTTAATCCAGTCATGTGGTGTCCCGCTTAATGACCCCAACGACTTATAGGCAGTGCTCAACTTAAGGTGACAATTGAGCCTAACATTTCTGTTGTTAAGAGAAAATTTGTTAAGTGAGTTTTGCCCCATTTTACAATTTTTCTTGCTACCATCGTGAAGTGAATCACCGCAATTGTTAATAACTTGGCTGTGAAGTGAATCTGGCTTCCCCGTTGACTCTGCTCGTCAGAAGGTCGCAAAAGGGGATCACGTGACCCCAGGATGTGGCAACGGTCATAAGTAGGATCCAGCTGCCAAGCGTCTGAATTTTGATCACATGATCACAGGGATATTGCAAAGGTCATAAGTGTGAAAAACTAAAACAAGTCCTTTTTTCAGTGCCGTCGTAACTTTGAACGGTCACTAAATGGAACGGCTGTTAAATCAAGGACCCCTGCACTTCCAAAATTTCAGGCTCAATTTGCGGTTGTTAAAAGTTACAACCTATACTTTGGAGCCAAAATCAGAGCGAAAAAGATAATCTCTGACACAGGGGAAGAATGTTTTTGAAAATGTTTTTGCACTTGAAGAAAAGCAATTAGATTGGGACACACATGGATGGTGAAAGGTTTTGTTCGTTTGTTTTTAATGCTCTAATCCCAAAACTGCTACATTGGTTGCAGCACAGATTAAAAGCCAAGCTTAGAAATTGCGACAGAGAAGCGGAGTACAAAATCTACATTCCCGTTTCTTTAAAAAAAAAAAAAAGACATTTTTTTTCCACTCCCAGGTTTTAAGGGCACGTTTGTCCTGTATTCGGGGGGGCTCTGCTTACTTTTAAAAATAATGCTGCCATTTAGGGGGAGGGGCAAAAAGGAAACTAAATTCCATTTTTCTCCAGCTGACAGCCAGTGACCAAAGGCCCTTGTAAATAAATGAGAAAGATCAAGTAACCAAAGGATGTTTTTTGCCAAACCAGATATTTTCAACACTGGTGCCAAAGTTTTCTAGGACGGCGTTCCTATTTAAGGAACTTGTATCCTGAGGTAATATGAATGGGCAGAGGTATTTCTAGACTGGCCACAAAGATTGCTCATTAAAAAAAAAAAACCCAAATGCTGAAAAAGTTTGATCTGGGATGGATGGCCACCTTGGCAAGATCTATTCACATTAAGACAGGCAAACCTGAAATCTAATTTTTATATATATTTGGATTTATCAACAAGAAAACAAAAAATAATTATCTTTTTATTTCTTGCACCAATATCCAAATTTCCCCGTTATTACTCCTCTTTTCCATCCCGGCTCATGAGGATGGAATTTGTTTTAAAACACTTGACTGACATATAGAGGTCTGGTGCAGCTATTATGGCCTCGTACAATAAACTAGCCCAACAATGCTGACCCTACAAGATGCATCTAATCGCAAAACTATTGCCACGTTCGAGATCAGGGTTTCTCAATCTTGGCCATTTGAAGATGGGTGGACTTCAACTCCCAGAATCCCTAAGTCAGCATCCTGGAATTCTGGGAGTTGAAGTCCACTTAACTTCAAGTGGCCCACGTTCAGGGATAACCATTCTCGATTTGAGATTCGAACAAGCACA